GTCTGTTCAAATTTTTCTATTTCTTCCTGATTCAGCCTTGGAGGATTATATGTTTTTAGGAATTTATTCATTTCTTCCAGGTTGTCCAATTTGTTGGCATATATATGTTCATAGTATGTCTTTACGATTCGTTGTATTTCTATGATGTCAGTTGTCATGTCTCCTCTTTCACTTCTGATTTTATTTGGGCCTTCTTTTTTTTCATGATGAGTCTGGCTAAAGTTTTATCAATTGTATCTTTTCATAGAAACTGCTCTTGGTTTCATTGATCTTTTCTATTTTTTTTAGACTGTTTTTGTTAATTTCCACTCTGATCTTTATTATTATCTTCTCAATTTGGGCTTCGTTTTCTTCTTTTTCTGGTTCCTTTAGGTATAAGGTTAAATTGTTTGAGAATTTTCTTGTTTCTTGAAGTAGGCCTGTATAGGTATAAATATCCCTCTTAGAACTGCTTTGTCTGTGTCTTATACATTTAGGGTTGTTCTGTTTTCATTTTCATTTGTCTCAAGGTATCTTTTGATTTCTCTCTGATCTCATTGTTAACCCATTCATTTTAGTAGCTTGCTATTTAGTTTCCATGTGTTTGTGTTTCTCAGTTTTCTTGTAATTGATTTCTAGTTTTGTACCATTGTGATAGAAGAAGACGCTTGATATAACTTCAGTCTTCTTAAATTTATTGAGACTTATTTTGTGGCCTAACATATATGTGATCTGTAATGGAAATATTCCAAGTGCACTTGAAAAGAATGTATATTCCCCTGCTTTTGGGTAAAATGTCCTAAAAATATCAGTTATGTCCATCTGGTCTAATGTGTCTCTTAAGGCCACTGTTTTCCTTTTTGATTTTCTGTCTGGCCGATCTAACCATTGAAGTCAATGGGGTTTAAAGTCCCCTACTAATACTGTATTACTATTGATCTCTCCCTTATGTCTGTCAATACTTGCTTTATGTATTTAGGTGTTCCTACATAGACATTTATAAAAGTTATATCCTCTTGTTAGGTTGAATCTTTTATCATTACGAAATGCCCTTTTTTGTTTCTTGTTACAGCTCTTGTTTTAAAGTTATTTTGTCTGATATAAGTATTGCTACCTCAGCTTTTTTTGTTTGTTTCTATTTGCATAAAATGTCTTTTCCATCCCATTACTGAAAGTTTGTGTCTTTTGACCTAAAGTGGGTTTCTTGTAGGCAGCATGTGTACAGGTCTTGGTTTTTTGTTTTTTGTTTTTTTTTTTTTAAATCCATTTAGCCTTTCTATCGGAGCATTTAGTCCATTTACATTTAAAATAATTTTTGCTAGATATGCAGTTATTGACATTTTATTGTATTCTGATTGTTTTGAGTTCTTCATTCCTTTCTTATTCTCTTGTTTTCTTGTTTGTTGATGACTTTCTATAATGTTGTGTTTTTATTTTGTTCTTCTTGGTTTTTGTATATTTCTTATAGATTTTCAATTTGTGGTTACCAAGTGTTTAATATCTTTACCAAACTATGTTTATAGAAGTCTATTTTAAGCCTATGGTCACTTAAGTTTAAACACATTCTAAAATCACTACAGTTTATACTCACTCCATTCCAAGTTTATGTTTTTATCATTATTTTTTGCTTCTTTTGCATGTGTGTGTTTGTATCCCTTAAATTGTTGTTGTAATTATTCCTACTTTTGCCTTTTAACCTTTGTCCTACCTTTAGTTGATCCACTGCTTTTACTAAGTGTTCGTCTTTATCAATGAGATTTTTTTCTTTCCCATATTTTCTTATTCATATTTTTTATCTTTTCTACTTAAAGAACCCTCTTTACTAGTTCTTGTAATACTAGTTCAGTGATGATGTATTCCTTTAGCTTTTTCACGTCTGGGAAGCTCTTTATCGCTCCTTCAATTCTAAATGATAGCCTTGTTGGGTAGAGCAATCTTGGTTGTAGGTCTTTGCTTTTTATCACTTTGCATATTTTGTGCCGCTCTCTTCTGGCCTGCAGAATTTCTGTTAAAAAATCAGCTGATAAAAGAAAAAAAAAATTAGCTGATAACCTTATGAAAACTCCCTTGTAGGTAACTAATTGCTTTCTCTTGCTACTTTTAAGATTCTCTCTTTGTCTTTAACCTTTATCATTTTTATTATGTTGTGTCTTGGTTTGAGCCTCTTTAGGTTCATCTTGCTTGGGACTCTCTATGCTTTCTGGACTTATATGCCTATTGCCCTTGCCAGGTTAGGAAAGTTTTTAGTCATTACATTTTTTTAGATTCCTTTTTCTTTTTGTTCTTATGATTGGGTGTTTTCTGCTGCCTTGTCTTCCAGACCACTGATTCAATCTTCTGCTTCTAACTGCTATTGATTCTCTCTAATGTATTCCTCATTGCAGTTATTGTATTGTTCATTTCTGATTGGCTCTCTTTTGTGGTGCTATCTGCGTTGAATTTCTCACAAAGTCTTAAGTTTATTGAGCTTTCTTATAACCAGTGTTTTGAACTCTGTACTGATAGATTGCTTATCTCCATTTAATTTAGTTCTTTCTCTGGAATTTTGTCCTGTTCTTTCATTTAGGTCATGTTTCTTTGTCTCTTCATTTGGCTGCCTCCGTGTGTTTGTTACTATGTATTAGGTAGATCTTCTAGATCCCAGTCTCGACAGAGTGGCCTTATGTAGTAGGTGTCCTGTGGAGCCCAGTAGCACAGTCTCCCTGTTCACCTGAGCTGGGTGCTCCACAGGTGTCCCTTGTGTGGGTTATGAGTGCTCTCCTGTTGTAGTTGAACCTTGTTTGCTGTTGAAACATCAGTAGGTTGGATTGCCCCTCAGGCTGACTGGCTGCAAAGGCTGGCCATGGCTACAGTAAAGAAACTGTCCTATGGGGGATGGACCCCATAGAGTGGGAGTCACTTTAGCAGGGCTCTGGTGTCAGCCAAATCCACTCTCTGTCATTTCTGGAAGTGGTTGAGTAGTGCTTTGGTGGGGTCTAATGCTGGCCACTTGGGAGGGGCTTCAGTGCAGGCCAAGGTCATCTGCCATTAGTGATCTGCAGTTGTTTGCCACTTATGTTGGGCTCAGAGGTGCTTGGGAGAGGCTAGGCTGAGGTGAACTGAGGCTGGCTGCCACTAGTGCCAGGCTTGGAACCCTTTGGTAGGCACCACTGTGTGAGCTGAGGCCAGCTGCCATTTATGCTGGGCTTGTGGCCACTTAGCTGTAGTTACATTCCAAGACAACCCTGATTGCAGCTTATGACAAGCTTTGGACCACGCAATGGGATTTGCAATGCAAGTTGAAACCAGTTGTTACTTGTGGCAGGTTTGGGGCTGCTTAGCAAGAGGTATAGGGCATGCTGAGGCCAGCTGCTGCTTGTTTGGGGTTTGTGGAAGTTTGATAATTTTAGGAAAATCTGCAGCATGAGCCAAGGAAGGCCACTTGTGTGGAAAGGCACTGGAAGCAACTCAAGCCGGAAGTACTAGTTGGGTGGGGGATCAGGGAATCTCTAGGGCAGAACTAATGGTGTTAGCCAGGTTGATGGAGAACTCAAATTTAGTGTCTACCTGCTGGCTGGGTCAAGGAAAGGCTTAACAAGGGAGCAATGGTGCCTTCCAGAACTTCCATCTCGGAAAGAACTGCCCTGCCCCCTGCTCCTTCAGCCCTCGCCCTGAAGTTAGTCATTTCAGCTCCTCCCCCTATGTCCCTGGTGGTTTTCGAGCTGTTGCCCCTGCACTGGAGCCCAGAGCAAGTGAGTCTTGGAGTGAATGAGTCTGACTCTGCCCCTGCAGAGGACTGCCTGGGACTCCAGTAGCCATCTATCTCACTCAGATGTAATCCCTACTGTTTTTCACAGCCAAATGCTATGGAGACTCTACTTCTTGGCACTGGTGCCTGGGCTGGGGAGCCCAGTGTGGGATTGGGACTCCTCACTCATCAGAGGGGCCCTCCACAGCCAAGATATCCCTCCTGATTCTTAATCACCTAACTGTGGGTATGAGACCTCTCTTTTCCATGTCTCCACCCCTCCTATCAGTCTCATCCTGGCTGCTGCTTATAGCCTTACTTATAGGACTTCTGTTCAGCTAGACTGCTGGTGGTTCTCAATGATTGTTGTTTTATAATTTAGTTGTAATTTTGATGTGGTTGTGGGAGGGGGAAAGCACAGCATTTATCTATTCCACCATCTTGATTGGAGGTCTAAAGGGAAGTTTTTATTTGTGTGTGTGTGTGTTACTTATATATTTAGTTTTTTAATTAATTTCTTGGAGTGACATTGGTTATTAACATTATATAATTTTGAGATGTATAAATTAGATGCTCACCACCTAATTTCTTCAGTTACCACATATTTGACCCCCTTTACTCACTTTGCCCTCTCCCCACCCACCTCTTCCCTCTGATAACCACCATTCTGTTGTCTGTCTCTGAGTTTATTTTCATTTGTTTCGTTCGTTACTTTTTGTTTTATATTCCACATATGAGTGAAATCATGGGTTTTTGACCTTTTCCATTTGACTGACTTTACTTATAATCTTGAGAGTATTATGCTAAGATTTTATTTTTAATAATGTATGTTATTCTAAGCTTATATTTGGAGATTTATCTTTATTAATGAAAGATTTTTGTACACTGGATAACGCTGGGTTACTTCATTCATATTAAGTGTTGTTTCATTAGAAACAACAGTTGAAAGCAAAACACCTGCTCAAGGCTTTTTAGCTGAGTTTCTGTGGCTGCATTGCCATGTACCAGTGATTTTACTTAAGGAAACCCCAGTTCCAAGGTTGAAGAGAATTTCCTCTATTCAGAAAATGTAATTGTCATTTTTAAATTTTCTTTTAGGAAAGGCTTCTTCTCTCTGCTTTCCCCATTCCCCACTTTTTTTTCCAAATACACACTTTTATTAGTTTATGCCATCTGAGAGAGGGCACTCTGCCTCAACCCACTGGGGCATTTATCTCTGAAAACAATGGGGCAGAGAGTGATGGCAGCAAGGCCCCGGCCCAGGAGTGTGACGTGGCTTTGCTTCTGTTGACAGTGTGAAGCAGAATGAGCGCTACGGCCAACTGACCCTGGTCAACTCCACTGCGGCTGACACTGGAGAGTTCAGCTGCTGGGGGCAGCTCTGCAATGGCTACATCTGCAGGAAGGACGAGGCCAAAATGGGCTCCACTTACATCTTTTTTACAGGTAAAATGTTTGCTGCATTAGTGGAACTCTTTGACCTTCTGGACTTGGCCCATATTAAAAGTTCCCACTGGGTGCTGAAATCAAATAAGGACAATCAGAGCACCCACTCAGTGCCAGGCTCTGGGCTCAATGCTTTACATCAATTATTTTATATAAGTCTCACAGCAACCCTTCAGAGTAAGTACTAATATTGGTTCCATTTTTTTTTTCCAGTGGGAAAATTGAGGTTTAGAGAGATTAAATAAGTCCTTAAGATCATCCCGCAAGTAAGTGGCTATATCAAGATTTGAACACAGAACTGCCTGATTCCAGAGTTTGTACCTACATTGTTCAATACGGTAGCCACTAGACTCATTTGACTATTTAAAATTTGAATGGGAATTAATTAAAATTAAAAACTCAGCTTCTCAGTGACACTTGTCATGTTTCAAGTGCTCCAGTGCCAAGTACAGCTAAGTGGCTATCCTATTGGACACTGCTGACAGAAGATCATCATTGCAGAAAGCTCTCTTAGACAGCATTGTCATAGACATTTAGTCATATGTTCTCAGAACTTGTAATGACCTCCTCTGGGACCTCTGTAGTCATAGGATGCCTGGCTGAAGACCTCCTTGTATTTGTTCTTATGACTACTGTAAGCTGGAGTGTTGGTGGCAGAATTCCTTACGATCTTGGCCTTTGTGGCTCTAGTCCCAATCTCTGAGCCTAAGTGAGGTGCCTGAAAAGGTGCAGGGCAGAGTGAACTCTTCTCGTCCCCTTCAGCGGTAGGTAAGTTTTTGCCAGGTGGAATTGCACCTGGAGAAATAGACATTGCAGAGTAGCTTGCCAGCCTCCTTCCTCTGCAGAACTTTCCAAACTGAAGTTTGGGGGATGACATTCTCCAACAAGGCTCGGAGGTCAGGAACAGCTTTCAGGAATCTTACAAATGTCACCCCCTGGTGCTGCTGTTGTCTAAGGCATTTCACGTGAAGCCAGAATGTTTTCTGAGTGTCTGAACAGGGGCTTTCAGAAGATTTGTCTACATTACAAATCCATCTACCTTTCAGATCAAAGTGATTTAGGCCCATGACTCAAGTGATCTTATGCCCTGGCCATTAATAAATGCTTTAGCAATGTCTCATATATAATCCCTTCCTACACAAACTGCTCCTCTCTGGCAAGCAGATGGATTAGCAGAGCACTCTGCAATCCTGGAGGTTCATATATCTCATTTCATTTCCACAATACCCCTGGGAACTAAGTAAAAACTGCTTCGTTATCTCTATTGTAAAAATAATGATGCTGATTCTGAGACTCAAAGGGCAAGGTGACTTGTTCAGTGTTTCATGACTTATAGTAGCATAGTAAGGAGTCAAATCCTGTTTTTCTGACCCAGGATCCAATGTTCTGACTGCCCTAACCCATTTCTAAGACAAGGTGAATGATAGCTGGGCAGACAGAAGACACTAGCTAGCATAACTGCTGTTGTCAGGAAAATTGCTAACAGTTGTTCATAGGTAATCCCTCTGATCCTCATTCTGGAATGTGCTATGCAGAATGCTCACATGCCCTTAGTGTTGTACCACGCTGGGGAGCGGCAGTGGGAAAGGCCACTAGGTAAGACTAACAAGAGCCTGTTGTTTTGGATGAGGACTGATACCATATTTCAATTTGCAGAATGAGGATTCTTTGTTACAGTGAGCACTGTTGTGTCTTCCCAAAATATTGGTTTTTGAACTCAGATTTTGAAGTGAAGACCTCATTTGAGCAGAATGTCCTTTTAGAGATATGGAGTTTTAGAGGCAGGTCTTCATCTTATAAAAGCCCCTTTCAAAGGAATGCCCCCAAATTAATATTTATTTCAACTTTCAAGAAACCTAGCCCCAAAAGGGATGTGACCTAATGTGTCATATCATTTTCTTACTCCTCAACACCAAGAGTCCATTTGGATTTTGGGTATAGGGTTTAGCATTTTGTCTTTTCAGGCCTGGGTGGATTTGCAAATCCAAGATGGGCTCTTTTGGGAGCTGAGCTTTCTGCTGCTGGCTCTGGATTCCTTCAGAACATACGGTTTTTCGCTACCCACACAGAGATACGTCTGGCATTCAATATGTTTGTATGTTTCCTAGACTTTGATTGCAAACACTGTGAAGCTTCTTTTTCACTGTTGTTAATTTGTGCCGTTTTTGATTAAGCAACTGTCACACATTACATTTAATATTTTCCCAGGAGGTACTCAATAATTTTTTTCCTCTTTTTATTAAAGTATAACATATAAAGAAAAACACACAAGTCATAATTATACAGCTCAATAAATTATCCTCAAGCGAACTCACACAGGTAACTAGCACCCAGATCAAAGAGGAGAACATTACGGGCAGTAAGCAAGAGGCTCGGGCTCCAGTTTTTATATGTAGTAAATCCACATTAATGAGCACTTTTATGGAGTTTGCTATAATTTTAATTTTAATTTCCATGCGTTTAGTTTTCTTAAAGTAATGTTTGTCAGCTACTCAAGTCAATACAAACATATTTGCAGGGGGCATATGTAATCTATAATTTCTTAAATGGATGTCAATGCACTTTTTTTGGTAGATGGAATCTACTGGTTGGTTATCAATGTATTCCTTCTGTTTGTTAAAGCAGTTGGTGCAGTCACTTCTTTCAAAGCATGTGCTATAGTACAAGTAACACATTTTTGTGTTCTAAAATTCAGATTGTTATTCTACCGGTTTTACTCATTGGCTCAGTTTCCTCTATAAAATCTTACAACTGTAAATTTCTTAAATGCTTTGCTAAAAGATATCTTTAATACTATCTTCTGTGGATTCTTCTCTTTACATGTGGGGATGTGGAAGCACAGAGGGATTCAGTGACACAACCAAGGCCATGAAGATTTACTCTTTGTGAACAGAGGGCTATTAGGTACAATGACAAAGGTGCCCCTAAGCCTGAAAGTCAACTTATTGTGAAGTGGCATGAATCACTTGGATTGATATAAAGACTTGCAAAAAATAGAGACTCGCTGAGCTGTGACATACTCTTTCTTGATCTCAGTCAGAGCCAGAGGGATGAGCTCCATGTTAGTGAACTTGCACTCATCGCCAGAGAGATCTTGGCCCATGAAGACATTTGATGATGTGTTCAGGAGTTCTGTCCCCAACCTAAACCATCACATGTGGTTTATATGGCACAAAGAAGGGTAGTGAAGGAGAAAGCCAAGAATAATTGGTTGTTTCAGGAATCTTGCAAGAAAACCGTGGGAAACGATTTAACAAATGTTGGAATGTGATTAAGTTAAACAATATCTCTTAGCAATTACTATAATATTCTCTCATAGAATAGAAAATGAAGGATTCGATGTGCCATACCAAAAAAAAAAGAAACCCAGAGTTGTTTGACTGTATTAAGGAAAGTGGGTAAACCAGATGTCATTTAGGTAAGATAAAAATATTATCATCTAAATCTTAAAGAATATGCAGAGTGATTTCAGAGGAAACAGAAGGAGTGTAAGGAACTAGCTGAAGGTCCCCAGCCCGGTAGCAGCCAGGCCGAGCTCAGTCAGAACCTGAGACTAGCGAGTTCTTCATCCATCTCTACTCAATTTCCTTTCCATTGACGTTGGCAGGGATGAGGCCCCCTGGGCTGTGAGGACGGGGTAAGGATGCCAGCGCCCTCACTGGGCTGGACCTCTCAGAGAAACACTGCTGTGCTGGGAAACCCCTCCCAACAGGCAGTTACTGAGCATAGGCTACGGGGCTAATTTCCCCAGAGACAGCAGACTGTTTACAGGTTTTAAAACTACTCTTAACATAAGGAAATCAGTCTTCCTCTGTGCTTTCTCAGTGGGTAATCCTTAGTCAAACTAAGACCCATTTTGCTTCCTTTAAAGAGGTGGGAAGAAACATCCTTCTTCTAAAAAAGGCAAGTTATTAAAAACAGCTTTTTCTATTCATAAACACTTAGTATTCTGAATATATTGCCAGTCCTCTCTCATCTTTTTGCTCCAAAAACAAGAATCTATAAAGCGTTCTTACATCGTTTCTGCAGAATAAATAAGCCTGTGTCTTTTTCTTTACAGAGAAAGGAGAACTCTTTGTACCTTCTCCCAGTTACTTTGATATTGTCTACTTGAACCCGGACAGACAGGCTGTGGTTCCTTGTCGAGTGACAGTCCTGTCAGCCAAAGTCACACTCCATAGGGAGTTCCCAGCCAAGGAAATCCCAGCCAATGGAACAGACATTGTTTATGACATGAAGAGAGGTTTCGTGTATCTGCAACCTCATTCTGACCACCAGGGGGTGGTCTACTGCAAGGCGGAGGCTGGGGGCAAGTCTCAGATCTCTGTCAAGTACCAACTTCTCTATGCAGAAGGTAAGCCTGCTTCCTACCAGTGCCTAGATTTTAGTTGCTTCCGGCTGGTCAATATCAGGTATTGCCGTTCCCAAATATGGATGGAAATTAGAGGGCACAGAATGCTGTTCTTAAAGGCTCCTTTATTACACTGCTATTTCTAGAATATTCCATTTGTTCGTGACCACGACCCAACACCCTTCAACTCCCTTGTCTCTAAATCTGTCTGTCATTCACTCTGGTTTGACTCGGTATGACTGATTGGCAGTTCTCCAAAACCTCCTCTTAGAACGTTCTCTCAAATGAGAACATCCTCTTTATTTTAACCAAAATCTGCTATCAGGGCACCATCCCTTCGCCATCTCAGGGTCAGGAGGGTGGGGCAGACGTCCTTGCACCCATTCCTACTTCCCGATTCTTATTCTCTCGCCCTCTCTCAGGAACTTCTGCTCCTCAGACTCACGGCTACCACACTGAGGCCTGTGACTCTACCAGCTTTCACCTTTTCTCATGGGCTCATTTTCTTCTTCGTCACTATTTTATGAGTGACAACGTTCGTTTGGAACCCACGGGCCTGGTTCACTGACTGCCTTATCCATCCCACCTCAGACACCCCTTCCTCAGGCACAACTTTAAACATGCCGATGGCTACAACTGCTATGACTTAGGAGTCGCTGAGTTAGCACTCCAACTCCAACCACAGCCTCGTACCTTCCCAGATTGTTCGGTGACTCCTTCTGCACCGATCCTCACCTCTACCCTCTACTCTCCACATTCCGCAGTGCTCTGCTTAGAGTCCGTGGCTCGTGGCTTCAGTGCTCTCTGCCAGTGCCCTGAACTCTTTGCCCTTCCGTACTCTCCTCTCCCCCCCACCACCCCCCGTCCAGGAAAACATGACCCTAAATGAACAGAACTACACCCTTGAGGACAGCTGAGAAATTAGGTGGGTAAATTCATCCTCTTTCAATTGGCCTCACTACCCGCTTCTTGATAGAACTGAAATATGTTCAGATCTCTCCGTTAACAGGGAATTTTTTTTTTTTTAACATAACCATTTCAGTGAGCAGTTCCATTTCAGTGACTTCATACATGAAATACTTTTTTGTTTAGGAACTTGCCATCAATCCTGCCACCTTTTCTAAGGATAATGAGGTCCATTAGTGATATCTCAGTCCAATTCCACATCCAACGAGCACTTTGAGTTAGTAAGACGGTTCGTTTAAAATCTTAAACCCCACATTTGACCCCAAGCCCGCTCCTACTGCCCCCATCAGCAAGCAGGCTTACACTGGTGACTCCAGCAGCTGGAGAAGAGTGGGGTGGGAGAGACAGGCTAGCCTCCCTCCACTCCCCTCCTTGCTCTGGTGCTGGCCTAGGGGCAGAAGGGGAGAGGCTGCAGCCCAGAGGCAGTTGCCTCTGATACTAAATGCTGACCTGGCTTGTTCACGAATACCACGGGGACAGATGGTGGCTCCAACATCTTGTCATGGATAATAAGGTGCTCATCCCTAAGAGGCCCCGTTGGTCCCATATGGCCCTTTCAGATTCAACCTTGTCCTCTTCTGGACCCTCGGCTGAAGGCCTCCACTGTTTCTGTGCATCTCTTCACTCCCTGCTTCAGTGTAGTCTTTGAAAGGCGATGGTGCCAAAATCTCTATGTCCCTTCGATTCCCTGACTCTGTAGCATGTGGAAACCAGAAACTTAGAGTGGGGACACAATCTAGGTTTCCAGTCCTCCTGGCAGCTCTGCCATGCCATCCCTCCCTCCCATCGCTCTCCAGCCCAGGACTGGTGGTACACAGGCAGGCAGCAAGCAGATCTCTACTGCAAAAGGACATGTCACCTCCCTTCTTGACAATGAATTCCCTCGAGCCTCCTTTCTCTACTTCCAGGAGAGAAAGCACCCCCTCTCAGGCCCTGAGAGTGAGTAGAGGAAATGATTTCTCTTCTTGCACCATAGTGCCTTGAGGATGACTCTTCTCTGAGAACTCTTATGTGACCTGGGATGAGTGGCCCACATGTGGGCCAGAGTCCATCCTGCTGCAGTGGTGCTGCTGGGCAGCCCTGTGGAGTGAGTGGCCCAAAGAGCTGGCTGTTCTGAGATGACAATTCAGGCTCTTTAATCTCGTTCTCAGCCATGGACGTATTCATTAGGCCACGGCACCAACACCCTGTTAACAAATACCCCTCACAACCCTCCTTGACCACTCTCAGCCCTCAGCTAAGGCCATCTCTCTTCCCCATCACAGCCAACTGCCCTGAAAGAGCTCTCCCTGTTCTCCATCTTCATTTCCTTCCCTCCTACATGTTCCTTACCCTTCTCCTCTGGGCTCCACAAAATGGCTATTGCTAAGGGTCTCAGGGGCCCCAAGCCATTAAATGCAGCAGACACGTTGTGTCCTCATCCTCCGAGGGTCCACCTCGCCTGCATGAAACCCCTGCTCCTTGGCTCCATTTTGTCCTGCTTTTCCCCGACTTTCTCATTCTGCTTTGTCAGCTCTTTGCCTCTCCCAGCTTGTGACTGTTGGGAGTTCCCCGAGATCCCTTTTTTCTCATTCGTTGTTCGCTTGGGTGGTCTCGGCCACATCCACGCTCGGCTGCATGTCTGTTCACTAATAACTTCTAATCGAATATACATGGCCCAGATCTGGGAGTGCCAGCTTCATGTATCCAACCGTCTAGCCAGTATCTGTGCTTGGATGCGTCACAGGCTCTTCCCTGAACTCTGCGTCTTCCTCCCTGGCCTGGTTCTTCAGCTTGTCCTTGTCTCCGTGATAGCACTGCAGTCGCCCAGGGCTGGACTGAGACTGGGAGTCAACCTGAAACTTCTGTCTCTTCCTAGTCTTTTTACTTTTTCTATTAAATCACTTTCGATTCCTGCTATTTCTCTCCATCCTCACTGCAAAGACTTCAAGCTATCATCACCTCTTCCTTGGACTCATGCAAATGCCTTTCCAGCTAGTCTCCCCTATGTTCACCTTTTCTCTCTTCCACATCAAGCTGATTATGCCTCATGGCGGGGGCTTTGCTATGGTGAATGCCCATCAGCCAATGCCTCCCCCTTCTCCCTCCATGCCTGTTAAGTGCACCCTTCAGATTTTAGTTCAAACATTGCTTCTTCCAGGAAGTCTTTCCTGATTTGCAGCCTATTCTAAACTTCTGAAACACTCTGGGCTTCTTATAGCTCTTAACTCCTTTTACATTAACAACACAAGTACTTGCTCAGTATGTGGCTCCTCCTCTGGAGTACAGGCCTCTGGGGCTCAGAGACCATACCTGCTGTAGTCCCAGCTCCTAGCACATCACCTTGTTCAAGGCTGCGGTCAAAAGTATCTGTTGAATGAACTGATCATAATGAAAAAATTTGTTTCTGAAATACGAAAATACGTAGCAGGCATGGCCTTCCTGCAATCCCGCTTCCTCATAGATTTAACGTTCTCCTCTCCTTTCTAAGGATGAGCAACCACACATCCAGCTGTTCGTCTCCACCTGGGCAGTTGCCCTCTGCATTCTACTTGCTCTCTCCCCAAGTACCTTCTTCTCGACATTTTTATTCCCTTCATATGAACTTCTGGCAGATTTAATGGGCTCATCCCCTAATTACAAGTGTAATGGCTGGACCTGGGGAGTTCTGGATGATGACCCCATTCTGGACCACCAAGGTAGAGAGAGAGAGAGGAGTCCTCAAAGAAACCCAAAGTTGGGGGGATATAGGAGGAGGCCTGGTACTAATTAGGAAGCTATAAGAAAGGTAGAAATGTTTTATATATCTGGCTAAAGAAAAGCATGTGTCTGTAGGTTTGTATTTAATGTCACATTCATGAATTCCATCTCACTTTCCCTGTCTCCTGCTTGCTTCCAGTTCCCAGTGGCCCTCCATCAACAACCATTTTGGCATCCTCCAACAAAGTGAAAAGTGGAGATGACATCAGTGTCCTCTGCACTGTCCTAGGGGAGCCTGATATTGAGGTAGAATTCAGATGGATCTATCCAGGGCAGAAGGTGAGCAACCCCAGACTCAGCCAGTTGTTTTAATTCAGGTTCGTCTCCCGCTCCCTCAGCTCTTAGTGATAAAGACTATAACTTAAGAAGTGTAAGAAATGTGTGGGACTATCGTAAGGGCTAGGGCTTGCTTGCTTGTTCGCTTGCTCTAAGATGTTTCAGTAGATTTACAAAGGACTTTTTTTTTCTTAATACACAAGAAAAAAGATGACTTGGTTCCATTAGGCAATTTACTCAGTGTACCCTCTACATGTGATTTTTCTTCATAACTCTTAAATAAGAACGGACAGAGGTTTGAAAGGGAAAAGAAGGGGCCTCTCTTTTTCTCCACTCCCAACCGCAATCTTCAGTCTTAATTCTGGGTCGATTAGAGGCCAATCTAATCTCCTTCTGGTATCCTTCAAAGCGTTCTTATAAGTCCCGGGGCGAGGAGCTCTGAGCAGACATCCATGAAGAGGACATAGAAACATAGGCCCTTTTCAAAAAGGTGCTGTGAGGCCAGAGATAATTTTAAAATAGCCTTCCCATAAAAGCAACTACAGCTTATTTAGCCTCTGTGCATGTTCTGCTCTCTAAAATAAACAGCTTTGCTACCGACATGGAACAATCCCTGTGTTGCCAGAAGAGATTTGGCCTCCTGAGATGTGCTCGGTAGCCAATACACTCCTGGCTTAAGGGCTGTGATTGGTGGAAAATAACACTCCCTGGACAATAGTATTTTCCAGCATCCTGTTAATAGGTACTTGTTTTCAAATAGTTGTCCTAGTTAGAGAACATTAATGATTTTCAGTATTTCTTAATATTGCCAATTATTTTGAGCAGAAAGAATTAATTCAGTAATACTATATTAAAATTATTTTCATCTAATCCAGAAAACACTATATTATCACTAAATTTGGATGAAGGATCTCAAAAGTGACCATTTGACTTTCTAGAAATAGGGAGTTATATCATCGAGGGCATCACATTATTCATCCTTGGTACAACTTTTCTTCCACTGGAGTCCTATGGCACATGTGACTAATCATACTTCTCTCTCTCCCAAATCTGAACAATTGGGAGCTTTTATTCACTTATATAGTGAGTGCTTCAGGCTCTTTTTGACCATAAATTCTGTGAATAAGAACCACTGAGTGAGAGAGTGAAAGTGGGCAATGTGAAGAGAACAGTGGAAAATCTTACCCATGTCGTTATGCCTAATACCAGTTCCACATTCTTGGACTTCTGAAAGAATAAATCTTAAGTAGAAACTCACTAAAGAAAAGGGCAGAAATCTAAGACTCTGCTCTGAAAAAAAATGCAGTCTAAATGATTATACAGTGTGAAAGCAGCCATGAGCTATGCATACCAAACAGTCTTTTATCTGCATGTGTTTTGCACTTTGAAAGGAATGCTCGGCAGTGTTGGGTGAGTGGGAGCTGTGTGTGGCAAATCTTCGGTCGTGCTTCAGTCCATGTGGGTATCATTAAACAGGATGAAAGGCCTGTGACGATTCAGGACACTTGGAGGCTGATCCACAGAGGACTCGGACACACCACAAGAATCTCCCAGAGCGTCATGACAGTTGAAGACTTTGAGACCATTGATGCAGGATATTACATTTGCACTGCCCAGAATCTCCGAGGACAGACTACAGTAGCTACCACTGTTGAGTCTTCCTGACTTGGAAAATGAAGTATAATGAACTGATGGAAAGTCCATTTGAGTACACGACCAGCTTTGGCGTTCTTTTGACTAGTGCTTTGCCAGAGGCTGATGGCACGCACCCAACCCCTGCCTTGTGAGTAAGACCCAGACATTCAAACTAAAAGGAAGTCATTCGGTCTAAAAGTGGAAGTGTTAACTCCTCTGACAGAAAGCATGTATTTTGATTGCTTACCTAGATATATGCATTTCTAGTTTTCATACTAAGAAAGCATATATGTAAACAACTTTATATAATCATTACTATTAAATGAGCAAGATTTTGTAAAAAAAAAAAAAAAGGGCTAAGTGTTTGTGTTTTAGGTTGACAAAGTATATTCAGAAAGACTTGTTGGCAGTAATGTTTGGGTTAATACCTAATATTCCATTAAATTTAACAAGAATAAAAAAATGTAGTAACATATAACTATATGATATGACGATATCAAAAAAATAGGAAATTGTTTTTAAAAAAACTACTCAGAAGTACTAGTGCTAGATTAGTCCTTTCAATAAGAACCACACTATGTGTTTTTAAGTTTAACTTTCAATATAAAATAGATGCACAGAAGGAAGATTCAACTTCATTTAGGCTTTTTTTTTTTTTTAGCATCTTCAAAATATTTAGACCATAGTTGTTCCAATTTTGCCTTACAGAGCAGAAATTGTTAAAACCAGTCAAGAGTTATTTCTCCCAAACACATAGCTTTGAATTATAAGAAAAGCTTAGCTCTAAGTCTAGTTCTGTGAGCCAAATTTCATCTCATGACCAGTTTTGTGGTTGCATTGGAAATTCCTGAGAAAGAGCTTAGGAGCAGACATGATGTCAACTCCTGTGCTATGAGAAGGGCTATAAGCTATAAACTGAATAACACTTTGAAGAGTAAAGTATGTCGCAGGCTGCTGCTTATATTGAATATTCCAGCATTATTTATTTGATCAAAGTAAAAATACACTTTTCATCACTACAAACTGAGCACAACTACAGTTTACACATCCATATTTTTATGACGTGCCAACATTTTCGCATCCTACATGAAACATTTGGTTTGAAAACTCGAAGTTCTCTGTTTTGTTTCCTATCTTCTCTCCAGTTGTCTTGCATTCTCTTCTCTGAAGACATTTCATACTAAAACTGTGTAAGATTGATTTCCCCAGACACCTAAATGGTACGGAGGAGAGCAAGGAACAGCACAAGATTTACCATGCCAGGGGATGGATGGCAAACCCAACTTTGGCTGATGACATTGAAAACAACTTGAAAGGGTAAGCAGAGATATTCCAGGAGGTGGCAGTGAACCTACGTTCCTATTTATTAGAAGCAAACGTGGAAGGCTGCATACATAATAAACTATCGAAGTTTAGACTTCAGACATAATCGCTACTAAAAAAACCATGCATCATGACTACTAATTTGCTATGTAGTGTACATGTAAATGAGGACTCTAATATCTACCTCTAGTATCCCGAATCTGTTCTTACTACAGCCATTGAACATCAGCAACACAGATTAGTAAATACTGACATCGCAATGTTAAAATATGCAGGGGGAGAGAGAGAGAGCCAGTTCTTCCACCTCCCCCAAAGTATTAGAACTGGGGGAGGAGATAAGTGTAGTTTTGAAAAGAAACTGAAATGCAGCCTGGAGGAGAGTTGTGTAAGCCACATTTCTGACTCATCAGCTGGCCATTCTACCTTCCCAAGGACAGAAGGATTCCTCAAAGGGTACATGGAAACTTAGCATTATCTCCCTAGTCTGTTTTCATCTATTAAATACTGCATCATTGGTTTAATCAAGGTACTCATGTTGAATTCGGTGCTATTCATCGATAAGCACTGAAGCCTACCTTCCTTAGTTCTACTAGCCAATGACTTGTATTCTTTATTTCCTCCAAAGTTTCCGAAAACTTGTACTATCAAATCCAGGCCATGGTTTTTTTTTTTTTGGAAAGTGGTTTCAGCACCTTGAAGATGAACTGGCTCTGGAAAAGCATATTCCATTATCCTTGTCCCAGAGAAAAATAGGTAGGAGGTAGAAGGTTTGCTTTTGTGGCTCTGGCTTGGAGACGGAGGAAGCGAGGATGAGAGAAGACAGTTTAAATCCATGAGGATAGCTTACATCAATGTAAAAGTTAGAAAGAAGCAATCCATTGGTGCTGCCCTTTTTCTTTATATAGATTTTTTAGAAAAATTAGGGTTCTACATTTGCTCATAGCCTGAGAAAATGGATTGTAGTAAAATGTTAAGTTCACGTGGAAAGTTAAAAATCTACAGGAAAAAATCAATTTTTTACTGACATGGCTGAACAGTGAAAGACCCAACAAGATACTCTAAAAGGAAACAATGCACAGACATGGACAAGTCAAAGCTTTTCCTGTTGTTCCCTCTCTCCCACCCCTCTCTATGTCAAAGGGCTGAGCAAAGTGGGTTGTAGAGAATCATAACTCAAGCAACTATTGCTCTTTCTTCTATGGCTTTTTGCAGAAATGCATACACTGACTTATCTGATTAGTACATATCCAGGTATATTCAGCTTTTGACTTTTAACACACAGCAAATTAGGCAGCATCAGACACACGACACCCCGCTACATCCATTTCATTCACACATCCTCAAAAATCACAAGAAGGTGTCTATGGTGAAGAACATTATAAAGGTTATAAATCTTAAGAGAACCCTGAGAGTTTTTCCCCTATGCTTACGTGAAAAAGGCAATGAACAAGACCTTCACCTTCTTATTCGTTAAGTGCTTTGTGCAACAGCGTCCGTGCAGATCATCGGGGGAGGAGTCTCTTGGACCCAGTCAGGTCTTCCTCCAGAGTTCCAGTCTCATAAGGAGCCAATGCTGGGGGTGGCGACTTTCCAGTTCTAGTGCGATAACTACGCATCAGCTACACAGCTCTTGCTCCCAGGACCACGGTTAGGGTCAGTCCTACAGACCTGGAAAAATGCTTTCAGACAGTCTCCCCGCTTTCAGAAAGCGTCATCTGGGAGAAACGTTGGGGCTGGGGAAGGAGCCAGAATTCCTTGGTGACTGGAAGGGGATAGCAGAAGACGTGGGGGACCTCTTGGGGCTGCACAAGTCCCCGTTGTGTAGCTTCCACAGCAGCTCCTCATTTTCCATGGAGAGGCGCTTGTTGACTTTCGACTCCTTCTCCAACGACTCCTGCAGAACAGCTTGCTCGGTGGAAAGTTGCCTGAAGGACAAAAGAGCCAGAAACCACGTGGATCTGAGTTTAAAAACATTCACTTGGAAAAAATTTTCTTACCATTTAAAATTTGATAGTCCAGAAAAATGACCCCTTTGGAATAAAAGGGAGCCCTGCACAGAACTACTGGCCAAGGGTATTTGGCTGACTGAGAACCCCTGGAAGTGTGAACTGGAGCTAAAGAAAAAGCTACACTTTGGGGGCAATTTCACTGGCTGAGTGACGCTCCCACAGGTATTCTGCATGTCTTATGACTGTCTTATGTTTGGGGCCATTTCCTCTTTGGTCTCCTGATGCTCCTTCTCTGAAAGCATTCTCAGCATCAATAAGCCAGGGGCCCTGGGGGAGGAAGGCTGGCCTGCTTAGGTCTCACTATTTAGTCCAGGCCCCTGTGGTAAAAGCACGAAGCACTACCATCAAATTTTCCAGACGGAAATCAGTGCCTCTTTAACCACCCTCTTCAATCACATTTCCAGGAGGTGCACGGGTGGAGTGTGGTAAAGCAACACTCGATGTCCGAGGAGAGGAGAAGATGGGACAACTAGGACCTTTATTTTTACCTTGAAATCGCCACGTGCTTGTCCATTCGAGCTTTTAACTCCTCATTCTCCTGCTGGAATCGCTTCAGTCTGTCAACCAGCGCTGTGTTGTTGTCCACCTTGGTGTAAGCAAGAAGGCCAACAATTAGGCATTAAAAATTGGTAAATAAAGCCCCTTCTTTCCTAAGGCACATGACTGAAATGAGTACACTTTGGAAAGATTTAATTAAGTTTAACTGTATATTGAAATATCTACATACTGATACATTACAGAACAGAATCTAAAGCAGCGAAACAGACCATCTAGATGCATTTTTTAAACATATGTTAGTTTTCAAGAACCACTTGAAAACTGACACACGAGGGGGCAACTGATTTGTTTCAGGTCACACCCATTGAGAATTCCCCCTGAGAACTGGTGTCCTGCCCTGGGCAACCCTGGGGCTGTGCCTCTTTCAGTTTCAAGGTGGTAAAACAAACAGCAGCTAGACAGCCTGTATTTATCAAGGGCACTACAGCTTCTTACGGTCAATTTTAGGGGAAAAAAAAAAAAAATTTGCCACATTTGATGAAAACTCCTAAGGCCGACAGTACTGGGGAATGTTTAATATGGCCTCAAACATGGTTTCCTAGTTGTTCTTTAGCATTTACCTCTGAGTGGCCACATAAAGCAGCAAATTCACAAAGCTCTATAAAGCATCAAATGAGAGAAGTGACACAGAAAGCCTTCCTCCTCGGTTCAACCGAAGATAGCATTTGATCTGCTGGCCTGCCCCGGCCAAACTTTCAAGAAAAAACAAGTTAATCAGTTGAGAAATTAAAGGATAAAATCCCAGAAGACATTTAATCACTAACATGATGAAGAGCTGATTACATCCCAGCTCACTTTCTAAAGGTAAGATTTTAGCACTTGCTTAGGAAGCGACATCACAGCTCTATCGGAATTAATTCTAAGTCCCTGTCACTGCAGCGCATAACTAATCTACTTGTGTTAAGGCTCTTAGTTTGGAGACGTAGTGTTTTTAATATATCCTATTATCCAGAAAATGTTCAGGACAAACGAATCAGGTAAAATCACTTTCCAAAAAATGAGACTAGAATCTAAGAAAAAGGGGGCCTTGGAATTTCCAGTAATTATAAAGGAATTCAAGATAAGACATAAGTAGGAAAATCTGGATTTGGAGACTGGGAAGTGACTGGCCTTAAAATATTATCTTGTCCAATTCCTTACTGTAAAGAAGAAGAAACTAGCTAGGTGATATCACAGAGCAAATCAGTGGCAGAGTTAGTATGGAAACTCTGGTATGAAAACAGAGAGGCTCCTTGCTTTCTAAGTGTCTTGTTTTCTACAAAGACTTGGAGCTTATGGGTAAATAGGTAGCAGTGGGTTTACCTGTCAACGACCCATTCTTTTGCATATACATAATACAATCCTAACATCATGATATGTGTTGGGCATGGCAAGAGACAAATATTTATGGATCAACAAAAAATATGTTGGTAATTTTACAGCAGAGTCTGTTCTTATTGCTCATATTCTGAAAAGTTGATGAATGGTATATGGGGCAACCAGGATTATCTGGGTCATCAGTGACTACTGGATTAGCAGTTATCAGACTTGATAGAACAGAATGACCTCAGGCAGAAACTGGTATATAGAGTATGTTGGACCCATTAACAAACCATGAGTTTCTTTCCTTCCTTTAAAAAAATCAAAATTTCCTGGGAATGTCAAGTGCCCACATATTCACATGGCAGCTAAGCCCTTACCTTCCGCAATAGATAGGTCATGGTATCTAGAAGAAAATCAAACACCAAAACCCAAACAAACCAAAGCAAACCAAGAGTGACCCTCGATCTCCATGTTCCCTATTGTTCAGGAGTGGTTTGGGTTTGAATGAGGTGCTTACTCAATAATCAGTCACTCATAATTGGTGGGGAGAAGGGACAAGCAGTGAAGGCAGTAGGCAGAGTACAGCAAAGTACAGCGGTACCTGGGATCACTTAGGTCACCTTGCAAAACCCTGCCCACTTGATGAGACTCCTGTCGTGATTGGGCACACTGCTCAAACACATAATTCTGGATAGACTGGTTGCAGGCTAACATCAGTTTTTTGTCTTAGAGGCTGCAAACTAAACCATTCATATTTTTCATAATGCTTGCTATTTGTCCAACTGGATTAATTTTATTAAAACACAATTCTTTAAAACATTCTAATTCACAAGAAGCAAAATGAACTTAGATAGCAAGATTAAATTGCTCCAATGTAATTAATTTACAAATCCAACTGCTTGGGGCACACGAAACCTGCCCAGAGTTGGTGATACGTTAAAGTACAAATTTTACATTATCTTAAAATTCTTCTTATGCAGGTGAAGATTCGCAGACCACTGAAATGGGAGCCTGCTTTCTTTGGAGTGGTTTTTCCAAGGAGCAAATGCTGCTTTACATGTTCCTTGGGAGGGGAAAAAAAAAAAAAGTTCTAGAAAGCAGCAATGAGTCAGCTTTGAGCAGACATAGAAAAGAAAAGGCGACCTCTTTTATCTTTTGTGTGTTTCCAAATAGCTTTCGGTAGCAGTTAAAACAGCTCCCCGGTTCTAGTTCAGAGCCCAGTTCCTATTTCACAGACACTGTTTTCTTTGGTGAGTCTCTGAAAGAAACGTACCAGCTTCTCCATCTTCATTAACTTGACATCCTGTTCGTGCAGCTTCTCATTCTTGATCTCCAACACGGCCTTCAGGCTCTCTAACTCTTGCTCTAGATACATGATCTGAGGGTTTTTCTGGAAAACACAGCAGGATATATAGCTCTGACTGCTCATTAAACACCATAGCGTAGTTCAGATTCTTAATATAAATAATCTTTGATTCGATTTAGAAATTAGACAAGTAGCAAGAGACTTCTACCTTCTTACAGCAGTTTCAAAGAAAGGTGGAAAGAGTTAGGATGGCTTTAGTCTCAAAGTCATTCGTTATGAGAATGAAATAAAATACTTCATATTTGAAAACAAATGCTTCACTCATTTATTAAGTTAATATGGAAAAAATATTGGTAGCACCAAATATTTTATTGCAAGTTGGAGAGAAAACATTGCTTACAATACAAAATAGAACTCTGGCTAGAGATTAGGCAATTCCAAGTCTTTTACTGGTGTTTGCAAGGAGAAAAGGGAACAACAGTTCTCTCTGACCAATATCAGTAACTGATCAGGAATGAAAAGGCAGTACATATATAAGGTTCCCTGGAAAGCAACAGAAACAATAATGTCCTGTGTCTTCTGGATTTTTATTATGATGAGACTGTGCAGGCCTAGCCATCCTTCTAGGGCAGCCAGAACACCTTATTTTATTTTGTAACACCCCAACACCTACATGGCAGGCACGTTGTAACACCCCAACACCTACATGGCAGGCAGCACGTGCATTATTCAAAGTCTATCCAAAATAAACCCTACATAAGGGGAAGCATTCTCTTAGAACACAACACCAGGGTAGATCCCCCAATCTTTGCTTTATTTATGGACACTCAAGCGAATCATCTGAAATGTACAATACAAATGAACAGCACAGATCTATGGATCAGATGTTTAATGAGGGAATTTCTTAGAAAAGAATCATGGTAGATCACCAAAACTATCCTCCTGGGCAGCAGTGAATGCTCTGAACCAACCCTTAGGGAGAGTCAGGGTGTGGGTCCTTGGGGACTACTTACTCAAACCCCTCTCTTTACAGAAAGAGACTACAAATCCCACAGCTCACGTGATGCACTCAGGGAACATACTGGAGCTGGAAAGTGCTGGGGCAAAGGACTTTAACTTCAGGGTTCCTCCAAACATTTCATAAGTTTCATATGCTGTTATCCTTTTACATATGATTTTTTTTTACCCTAACAATAGCAAATCCTATCTCATTTCTGTTCAAAAGAAACAGCATAACTTACTGTCAATTTTTAAAATGAGAACATTTACAGCCTTGTTCCCACTGTTCTTGTTCCTACTTCTCTGCCAGCCTGTCTCTTTGTCCTTTACTCTCACATGTGCTTTTCCCACAACTTCACGTGCCTGGACAGACGGGAGCATTAGCTATTCCTGCTCCCTCAGTCTGTTCCCTTCTCAGTTTTTCAAAAGTCACAGCACTCCCTGGAAGCTCTTTAAAATCTGTAACTCAAACCGCTAGTAAGGCTTACCTTCTACAGCTGAAGTCTAGATTATTCTCTGAAATTCCTACTTTTTCTAAGAATCTTCCAGAATAAATAGCTTGGAAGTTTCATTGAATATGACCTCAACTGATTGTTTTCAAATATCTAGAGGGTCTCCCAATCACATTATCAGCAGCAAAAGGGCTCGCTCACTGAGAGACCCACACATGTGCTTTGTGAACTGGCAACAACTCACGAACCGATTTTAAGTGGCAAAAAAGCTTTGCTTCCGTACTCTCAAGGCACCAGTATGAAATGGTGGTACTAAAAACGGAAGCAGTTAAGACATTTTTTTCCTCAAAAAAGGGTGGGGATAAGGGGAGTAAGGGTACAAGTTATAAGAGAAATTTGAACTTACAAGAGAAATTTGTACTTTTCAAAAGTGAGGATTATCCATACAATGAAATATTGTTCAGCCATAAAAAGGGATGAAGCATCTATACACGCTACAACATGTGTTTCTTAAAAACATGAGCTAAGTGAAAGAAGCCAGAAGCAGAGGACACATAGAGCATGATTCCATTTATATGAAATGTTTAGAAGAGGCAAATCCATAGAGGCAGAAAGTCTGGTGGCTTCTTAGAACTGGAGCTTTGGGAGGAAATGGGGAGTGACTGCTAATGAGTACAGGGTTTACTTCGGTGATAAAAATGCTCTGGAATTAGATACTGGTGACCAATGCACAACTTTATAAATATACTAAAACTCCTGAATTGTACATTTAAAAAGGTATATAAATTACGTCTCAATGCAGTAGTTTTAAAGAAAAAAAAAAGAAAGAAAAACGAAGTCCTCAAATAAAACCCTGACCCTAACTGATAGTTTTCTTGTCTTCCTGTAGGTAGTAGCTTAGACCACTAGTAATATATATTGGGCTTCATCTGCATGTCAGTTTTTAGCATTTTAAAAAGGAGACCACTAAACAAAGAGCCCGTTCTATACGGCTTCAGGAGCACGCTGCGAGATAGAGAAAGGATTCTGAACCCGTGTTTCTCTGGCTGCTGAACACTGGCTGAAACTAGAAGGCAGCTGGGCAGAGGGAAGGCCAGCAGGGATGGAGGAGTGCACGGAACTTACTAAACTTGCTTTCTCTCTTGATATTCTTTTTTGTTCTTCTGATTTTAGCTTTTCATTTAAAGCCTCGTTTTCATTCTTCAGATCACTAATTTGTTTCTAAAACACAACAAAATGAGGAACATAAGTTAATAAGCAGACACCAGAAACATAGCAAATGTTCGCAGAAATATACCAAAACCACACGGACCTCAAACCTCAAGAATGATGTGTTTTGTGTTTTTGGTATTGAGATTTACCCACCTCTAGGGATTCCTGCTTCTCATAAAGCAAATCCTCAAGTGATTTCTTTTCTAATTCATGGCTTTTCTTGATTTCTGGAAAAAAGTGATATTTTTTTTTTTTAACATCTTATGAGAACATTGTATTCTGTAGTTGTTAAAGCACACAGATGTAAGAGTTGATTATGAAGCAACATGACTCTGTTACTTTATATCTGTATGATGTTTTTATATAAATTAACCTATCCTCACATTAGCCCTATGAGATAAGGCAGATATTCCCATCTTATGACTGGGAACGCTGAGCCCCAGAAAGGCCAAGAGACCATAGGGAACACAAAGCAGACTTCTCAGGGGAGAACCTCAAACCCTGGCCTGCAGACTGCTGGTCTGGCTCCCGTGTTCTTTTCCATTTGTATTTCATAAACCAAAGAGAAATCTAAAGTTAAACCCATTTCTAGCAGGAAGGAAGAAAAACAATGTTTATTAAATTTCTACCCTGAGCTAGTCACTTTTATATATTATCATCTTGGACTTCACAACTCTATTTTTCTGATGAGAAAGCCCTTAGCCAAAAGTCACACAGTCAGTTCTTAACACACATCTGCCCACACACTTCTGCGTAGGATACAAGGAATTTAGTGCAACGACTTCAGCTACACGGCCAATTATGTTCTGAAAGAAATGGCTTCTGATTCTTCAGTTTCTACTTTAATCCTTCCGATCATGATAAAATAATCTTAAAGATTCTTTATTCAATAAGTGCCATCTACATTTCACAGCAGTGTTGGTGAGCGGCAGTGCTTAGCATGGATCTTATACCATGGCCAAGATATAAACTAACAAACACTTCAACTTCCAGGACCTAAAGTGGTAAAGTACAACTATTACCTAAAAGGCCTTTAAATTCTTTAAACATTCACCTATTTCCCAAAATGCTGTCATTTGTAACAAACTATCCTTTGCATCCTTAAGGGAAAGGGCATCTGCTAACAACGAACGATGCAAAAAGAAACCAAAACACTCCAAACAGAAGGGTATTCTCTGGAGGAGAAAATTATGAGTCATTTCCATTTTAAAATATATCACACGGTTCCATTAGTTCTTATTCTATTTAAATAGAAAAAAAAAAAAGCACTCTTGCCTGAAAGGGAGGTTTCATAGGCCTTCTTTAGCAATTCTACTTTCTCTGAGTGGCTAGCTTCAATTTCCAACTTAGAAGTTTCATGGGCAGCATTTAAGTTGTCAAACTATAAAAACAAAAACAAAAACAAACGAACAATGATTCACCAGTAAAATCAAAAGTACTAAGTTCAATAAATAAGCAGCAACATTAGGAGACTTAATACATAAACTTGTACCCAGTTGAAGGTCTACCTAATGCATATAAAGAACAACCCCACTTGGATTTGCTACTCCCAGGTCTCCACCCCGTCCTGCTCCAGAACACAAACACAGAGCTCTCCAGGGCCCACTGATGGAAATGGCCAAGTCCATCACAAGGAATGAGGATACGTTTCCCAGTGACAGGACCACGGAGTCCGCACGCCTGTCATGTTGGCCTCTACAGCCTCAGTTCCTAGCACATGGCATACAGTAGGCACTCTGTAAATATCTGCTAAATGAAAAGCTGATTTGAAAAGGGAGCAATGAAATTAAATACTGGCCTATGATATACCATTAAGTGAAAAATATGGGTTATCAAATAAGTGCCATTTTAAAGAAGAAATAGAAACCAATCGTTTGGCAGCATGGCACCAAAATGCCCTAAAAGAGGTTATTTCTAGGTACTAAGATAAAGAGTTTTCATTTTATCTTTCTTTTTTCATTCGTTCAATACGTGCACATTGCTTTGATCATAAGAAAAAAAATTAAAAAAGAAAAAACTTTTCACCTATTTAAATAAAACAAAGTTCATCAAGGGATGTTCAACAAAGAGAAGTTTATGACAGGAAATTGATCATCAAACAACAATAGAATTCAAATAGCCACAACCAAGAACATGCTCAGACCTGCTCTTGCAATTGAGTTTTATACTTCTCTGCTTCTTCGATGTAAATGTTCTGAAGCTTTTCACACTCCCCAGTGTAGAATTCTTTAAGCCGACTCTCTAGCTCTGTTAGATCAGTTTGGTGCTGCTGGTTTAGCTTCTGGACAAATCCTTCATAAGCTATTTGCAACTCATTCCTGGCTTTTTCTAATTTCTCACAGGTGGTTGAAGCAGTGACTGAAAAGAGATGGGGAAAAAAAAAAAAAACCCAAACATTTAATTTATTAAATGTCCTAAATTCATAACATTCGCACACAGCTATAATGACTCTGGAGGCATAAGCGCAGTATGTCTCTGTTCTTTGGTGACCAGGTTTTCAAACCTAATAGTATAGAAGTGAACAGTAAAAAGAAACAAGGGGAAATGGTGTCTGGCAGCGAAAACAGGTAAAAACATCACACACACAAACACACACACACACACAAACACAAACACACACACACCCACCCCCCCCCACCCCCACTCCCCCACAGGCATTACAAAAGGGAAAAGATTGTTTTAGGGCCGAAGAAAGAATAGTTTAGATCAACGATTATTCTACCTAAGTAATGTGGAATAACTGGTTCCTGGTATGAATTTCTGGCAATGGTGTAGACTTGTTTTCTTGGGAACATGCCACATGGTGGTAGAAATACCAGTCACTCATTCCTTATCAGTATTCTTTCAGAGGTAAAATGGGCCATATTGAAATAATGACAAGAATAGGCTCTGCTAAAGAGAATCCTTAAAATTCAAATAAACCCACAAACATTTATTGAAGGGGAAAGGAACTAGCATTAGAAACAAAAACTACTACTCAACGACTGGCACGGAATGGGGCTCACTACACGTGTTATCTGTCTCATCTAACCTTACGGAAGTCCTGTGAGGACCTTATTTCTAAATGTAAATATACATAAGGAAACCAGCAGAAAGGGTAAATAATCTGCCCTTGGGCACGTAGCTAGTAAGGGGTAGAAGACTGGATTGCAATAAGCAGTTTGGATTCCGATTCTGTCTACACCCAAAGCCTGTGTTCCTTCTACCCCACCCAGCTGCCTCTTGTGCTAGCAACTGTGGAGAAACAAGATGGAACCTCTCTTTGGGAGGCTCACTGTCTAACTGAGAAGGCAAGACTTACACGTGCGAGAAGCAGCAATACCAGGTAGTAGTACCTAAGGGCTGAATGAATGGCACTCGAGCTGGTTTATATCCAGCTAGGGTGATACGAAAGGTTTGGTCAGCAAATTAAAAAAAAAAAAATTAATATACATAATACAATTTACTATCTTAATTGTTTTAAGTGTACAGTTCTGGGGCACTAAGTACATTCAAATTGTTGTGCAACCATCACCACTATCCATCTACGGAACTTTTGTTTCCCAAACTGAAACTCCCAACCAATTAATTAAATGATAACTCCACTTTTCACCCTTCTCCTCAGCCCCTGACAACCACCATCCTGCTTTCTGTCTCTATGAATTCGACTGCTCTAGGGACCACATTAAGAGGAATCATACAATATTTGTCCTTTTGTGACTGGCTTACTTCACTTACTGTAATGTTTCTAAGGTTCATCCATGTCTTAGTGTGTGTCAGAATTCCCTGCCCTTTTTAAAGCTGTATAATATTCTTTTGTAGGTATATACCACATTCTGCTGATCCATTCATCCCTCAGTGGACACGGGGGTTGCTTCCACCTTCTGGCTATTGTGAATAATGCTATGAACATGGGGTAACAAAGATATATTCAAGTCCCTGTTTCCAGTTCTTTTCGGCATATACCCAGAAGTGGAATTGCTGGATCATATATTTCTATTATTACTTGAGCATCTGTCACACTGTTTTCATAACAGCGGTACCATTTTACATTTCCACCAGCAGTACACAAGGGTTCCAGTGTCTACATCCTCAGCCAACTCATTTTTTTCCTTTTTTAATAATAGCCATCCTAATGGGTATAAACTGGTATCTCACTGTGGTTTTGATTAGGTCAACAGATTTCTTAATGGATGTAGATATAATTTTATATATGATGTAGATATAATTTTACATTGAGGGTAAAAACTGTTTTCCACCATTAGAAATGGTGGGAGGACTACACAGTGAGACTTGGGAACTAGAACATTCACAAGGCAGAAAATTTGAAGATAAGACCCAATAAGGTACTAGATGGAGGCCAGATTATAGAGGCCATAACATGGAATATCACTGACAACTCAGTCCTTTGGGACTAAACGCTGAAAGTTATTTTCTTTTAAAAAATTAGTAAAAGATAATGGCTATGTTGATTGCTACAGAACACACTCTTCATATTCACTTTTCCTCTTATTGCACTAATTACCAAAGGAGAAAAAAATGATTCAGGAAGGCAAATGTTAGTCAAAGGAGTAAACATAAGCTTAACTTCTGCTGGCTTTACAAAGTACACAAATAAAATATGAGGCCACAAGCTTCCTTGTGTGACTTCTGTATTAGAACTCTACATGAAAGTAGGCAATAGAAAAATATTTGGCAAGCAGTCAATAAAGGCATCAAAGAGCTTCCTAGTCAGAGAAATCTTGGTTTCAGAGCCTTTTCACTTAATTCCCTTAGAACTCCAGATATCAGCCAAGTTAAAAAAAAAAAAAAAAGGTGGAGGTAAATGATGACACTATCCTAGCCCATCTAAATGCTCACATCGGAGAAAGACATGTCTAAGTGAACCAAAAACTAAAGCGCTTCTAAAGGGAAGCTTGCCACTGTGAGCGAGGTGAAGGGAGGACAGACAGGAGGGAGGCGGAAGGAAGCCGGGTCAGATGGGGGGCGAGGGCTTTACCGCTGTTAGTACACAGTCCAGCACGCAGGCCGAGCTCCAGATGGTGACATCAGCCTGCAGCTGTGCACGGACCTTTGCTCTGTTTACCTCCCTGGTGTGCTGAGTGGAGAACAGCTGGGCTGAAATAATCACTCACCCAAAGGGCTTTACTCTGAATTAACAGGGCTGGGCCCCCGAGGAAACATTTATTTGGCACAAAGACTCACGAAATACTTTAAGAGACACACACATAGATCAAGGGTCCTCAGAATGCTCCTGGACACGCTGTGTGGAGGGCGAGGGGGATCATCACCCCAGGTTTTAGTCATGAACTTTTCCTTGTACTTATTACAGTTCGGGAGAGATTTCTAATGCCACCTCTGTTCGCTGTTACTCCTGTTCTCGGTCCTGTCTCTTCCTGCTTATTCTCCTGAGTTCTGCTTGCTTTCAGTCAATCAGACCCCAACAAAGCAAAAACCAAACATAAAATCTTTCAGAATTTTAACTAATAAGCAAGTTTTCTCAGTGTTAGGTGATATTGTTTTTAGGAAGTTATTGCATGAATACAAAATACACACAGTACAAAGCAATCCTTTCGTCCTCGGTGTTTTAATAATTTTAAAAAGCATGTCTATGATTAAGGCGCCAGAATACCACTGCCTGTAGAAAAATTGATGGATTATAACTTTTGTACACATATTGGAGAACTGCAAAAGCTATCTCCAGCAATCCACCTTCAAATGAGAAATACAGTTTTCAGAAATAAGAAAGAAAGAAAACAAGCAAGCAACTGATTTACAAAATCAGCCCTAAAACATAAGGCCATGTTACAGATCAGAAGTTGACGTTTTCACTCTGGGATGAACCAGACCTGAGAACTTCAGGACAACGACAGAACAGAAACACTCCCTGACTGTTTAAAACATGAACAACTGAGCAAGGAAAAGATATTTCAGAAGAAGTGGTAAAACGCTTCATATATTTCCGTTTTAAATAATTCTTTGGACGACATCTAGAAAAGGCCCAATGTCACAGTCAAATATAGCCTTTGAGAAATAGAACTGTTCGTCTCAGGTTCTTTAGCAGTTATCCCTGAGGGGTGGAAATGAAGCCATTACCTAATTAGTCTTGGCCGGCTTTCCTAAGAGGGGGAGGTCAGATTTTTATCATTTCCACATCGTAGAAACTAATTTCTCTTTGGCGATTGATAAATGTACTGTCTGCAGAGAAAAACTTTACATAATCATGGTCCTAAAATGTGAATATCCTTTTGAAATAATAGAGATTTCTTAATTTTTATATCTGAGTAGCATGCTTTATCATGAAACGACCACAAACATTTTAATTCCCCAAAACACAAATGTCTTAATAGAACTAGAACACTTAGGTTAATCTCAGCCACACCATTTACCTGCTATGTCATTTGGACAAATTACTTAAGTTTTCTAAGCCTGCATTTCCTAATTTTTAAAATGGAGATAATATTTTAGTGCCTTCCCTACAGGATTAAATAATACATGTGAAGCACCTGGCCCAGTGCCTGATAAATGCTACTATGATTGCTAGCCTTGAAAAGTCCAGCAATTCAAATGTATTTGAAGAGTCCTCGAAGATAGGCTTGGGGGCCGTGACAGAAGGTGACAGTTAAAGAGAAGCACTGCTTATCTAATAAAGAACACATACCACATACACACGACAGGGAGCCACAGTACACACCCACCTCAAACCTTCACTCTCTACTCCTATTGTTCTTGACAGTATACACAATAGAAATCTCCCAACTTTTAGGTGATTTTATCTAAATTGGATATAAAATATAAAAAAGAAAAGGAAAAATAAAACTGGGGAGGTAAGGTCACATGGAAGCTCATGCGAATTTCGGTGATGCCATGTAAGAGATTGTGACAGAAAGAAAAGACAAACAGGAAAATAAGAGGACTTCATTCCCCATACACACATTCTCTCTAGATGCTTCCAGCAGGCCTGCTGTGGGTGCCAACCCTTCCTCGAGCAAGTTCTCCTTCTCTGTACAATCTATCAGAAATGACTGCAATCGACTTTACTTGCCTGCTTTGGGTCCCTCTCTCAATCGCTCTCTGGCCACCTGGGAAGTCAGACACCTGCTTTTAGTTCTGGCGCTTTCGCTCCTTTCTTCAATAACACGCACTTCTTAGGGTAAACAGTTTTGTTTTTTTTTTTTTTTCCAACTTAACTATGGAATAATTTAGTTATAGAAAAGGTACAGAGTACAGACAGTCCCTGTATACTTTTCATCTAGCTTCCCCAAATGTTAACATCTTACATAATCATGGGACATTTGTCAAAATTAAGTTTTAACATTGATAAAATATTATTAACCCTAACAGCAGTCCCCAACCTTTTTGGCACCAGGGACCGGTGC